CGGCCGAGTTGTGGCGCGCGCCCATTAACTACTGTATTTGAATTGTAATTGTTGTTCACAGTTCACTTATCATCATGTTATTACTCAAATTACTGTATCTCATTTTGTCTTTTTTGCTTTATCATAATAAATAGCACCCCCCTGGGCAGGGCTAGGAGGGGCGCGCACCCCCCAGTAAATCCATCCCTGGATACATGTGCAATTGAACACTTGCCACGTCAAAACTTGTCGTATAGAAAATAGAGGTGTGCAAATCCGATCCGAATTCGATCCGATCGGATTCGTTCGGATTTCGGATAAAAAATATACATTTCGGATCGGATTGATAAAGTTGTTTCGTAGTCGGATCGGATCGGACTTCGACATTCGAAAATGAATTAATTATCTACACTTTATCGCAAGAATATTTAATTATCCATGCATTTATCAAAGCATTATCGCGGTTGTCGCTGCATTATTCGTTTGATACCTCAATTGGACGTCACTTTGTCAGCTTCTTGACATGTATTTAATTCTTGCTTTTATATTCATTTGGTTAAATATTCCACATGAATGAGAAATTTATTTTATTAAAGGATTCTTCTGATCGGATCGGAATTCTTTATCAAAAATCGGATCGGATTCGCATTAGACAATTTTGAATCGGATTTTAAACATTAGCCAATTGTCGGATTATAAACGTCCAATCCGATCCGGTGCACACCTCTAATAGAAAATGCACTCGTCTATAACCAGCTCTGATGTGGAATAGATCTCATCCTACCAATGATTTTTTGAAGGTTGTTTTAGCCAGTACATTGATATTACTGCTGTATAATACATTACCCTTAAGTACCGTAAAATATATCCTTGTGTTTTGAACACCATAAAGTTTGTCTTCGATCCAATCTCTTACGTTTTCTCGTCTGCCAGGGTATACAGTATGTCCAACAGTAACTCACGACTCAGCTTTGAGATGCTATGCGATTCTGCGACCTAAAAGTCAACATGTCAAAAAGAAAGGAAAATCAAAAAGGCCCAAACGCTTCGTGTAGTTTTAGATTTGTTCAAGTCTGTTATATAAAAAAACTGCACAGTTCGAAAATCTTCGCTGAACTGCAAATCCCGCAAAATTTGTGAAAACTTTATGCAAACATGGGTAGTTTAGGGGCGGCTAGTATCTTTACCACTAAAATTATTTTGAAAAGTAAAGTTTCGAGTTTTTAAAAACCGCTTTAAAATGGCTTGCGTACAAAAATGGAAGGCTTAAAAAACGCAAATTTGAATGGGTGATTCCAGGTATGGACTAAATTTTGATCAAGGCAAGAAGAACGAAATCCAATACCACAGCTAGAAAAAGCCTCTTATTTAATGAGTAAAACTGCAGAGATTGGTAGCGACATGTTATAAAATGAAGAAAATATAGCCCCCGTGAAGTTCGCAAATTTTGTATATATTAATTTGACTGTATAATACGCGCGGTAAAAATAACCACTTTCGGCTGAAAAATGGTTATTTTTACCCGCGCGTAATGCAAATGTATACTAAATTTGAGAACTACACACAACCAAACATTGCAATTTTACTCATTTTAAGATGCTCGTTCCAGCTATGGTCAATGGATTTCGTTCTTCTTGTCCAGATCAAAATCGCCTAGGGCTCGATGACGCTATACTGAACGGAAAACCATTTAGTATTCCTTTTATACCTTCGACCTACAATAGCGGGCTCAAACTCAATGGCAAGCCTAAGGAGTAGTGTTATAAATGAATTCTTACCTTTGGAAAGTCTTGTGCGATTAACATGAGTGCATATTTTTTCATATCTGTCACGCTAATTTTGTCAGCTGCCTCTAAAACCTACGAAATATTTTCAAAATTTTGAAACTGATAATTAACACAGATCGACATAGCCCTTTCGATCAAAATATTTGTAGAAATAAGCAAGATATGAAAAAAACGGTAACAGAGTATTATATATAGTCTTAAAGGTTCTTTCAAATGAGAAAATAAAACAAATATATTGCCATTTCCCTTAAAGGTAGTATTTCATTTACCTCTACGACATTTCTGAAAGACACGTTCATTTCTAAGTTGCTTTTACAAATCGCCTAAAAACAGAAACACAATTCAGTCAAATTTATCACCTAAAACCTACACCCTACAGAGGTATATTCTCTCCCCAGGGTAGGGCGGTATTTCGATACATCGAAAGAGACAAGTTGTGTTCGCACTGCCTGTCCCAAGTTGTCAACAAGTTTGGAACAAACTGTTAACAACTTGTAAGAACCTGGTTGATACAATCAGATGTTGATCCAACAAGTCCGATACAGTCATGATGCAACAATATTGTTACAACCTTGTGTCGTCAAACTTGTAACATTCTCGTTATATCATTACGGTATCAGACTTGTTAGAACAACCTGGTAACAAGTCTGATAATACCATCAAGTTTATCACAAGTTGTTAACAGCTTGTTCCAACAACTGGGAACAAGCCAGTGCAAACACAGCTTGTCGACAGCTTGTGAACAGACTTGTAACAACTAGTTTACAGACCTGCATGTAACAACTTCTGCGTTTTTACGTGTGTAGAGCACAGAACGTAGTCCCTGAAGTCAACTAAAAAGTATGCAACAGTGTACATATTTAACAATAATTATACCATGAGCTCAAGTCGTAAACGTTAACAAGCTCTGAACAACTTGTAACAGGATCGATTACATTGTCCGACTTGTAACAAGGTCGTTCTAACAAGTCTGATTCATTCATGATATAACAAGAATGTCCTAAGGTTGACGACACAAGGTTGTAACTTGTAACAATATTGCTATATCATGTCAGTATCGGACTTGTTGAAAAAACCTTATAACAAATCCGATAATATGAACAAGGTTGCCACAAGATGTCAAAAGCTTGTTCCAAATTGTTGACAACTTGGGACAAGCAGCGCGAACACAACTTGTCGACGCCTTGTTCGCAGACTTGCTACAAGATGTGACATTTTTACGCGTGTAAAAACGCACAAGTTGTAACAAACATGCAGAACACTGGTAGCAATGCTGTTCCAACAACTTGTCAACAAGACGTCTCCTCAACAGGCTTGTAGAAAGCTTGTTAACAAGTTGTGCTAATTCCGCCCCAACAACTTGTCAAAAACAATTTTCGCAACAGGCTTAAAGCTTGTTAAAAAGTTGTGAGAATTTCGTTCAATCAACTTGTCAAAAAAACTTTTTCCAACAGCCTTGTAGCAAGCTTGTTAACAAGTTGTGAGAATGCCGTTCCATCAACTTGTCAAAAAGACTTTTCGCAACAGGCTAATTGTAGCAAGCTTGTCAACAAGTTGAGAAAATTCCGTTCCATCAACTTGTCAAAAAGACTTTCGCAACAGGCTTGTAGCAAGCTTGTTAACAAGTTGCGAGAATTCCGATCCATTAACTTGCCAAACAGACTTTTCGCAACAAGCTTGTCGCAAGCTTGTTAACAAGTTGTGAAAATGCCGTTCGATCAACTTGTCAACAAGAGTTTTCGTAACAGGCTTCAAGCAAGCTTGTTCACAAGTTGTGAGAATGCCGTTCCATCAACTTGTCAACAAGAGTTTTCGCAACAGGCTTGTAGCACGCTTGTTAACAAGTTGTGAGAATGCCGTTCCATCAACTTGTCAAAATCACTTTTTCCCAACAGGTTTGTAGCAAGCTTGTTAACAAGTTGTGAGAATACCGCTCCATCAACTTGAACTTGTCAAAAAAAATTTTCCCAACAGGCTTGCATCAAGCTTGTTAACAAGTTGTGACAAAGCCGTTCAATCAACTTGTCAACAAGACTTTTCGCAACCGGCTTGTAGCAAGCTTGTTAACAAGTTGTGAGAATGCCGTTCCATCAACTTGTCAAAAAGATTTTTCCCAACAGGCTTGCAGCAAGCTTGTAAACAAGGTGTGAGAATTCCGATCCATTAACTTGTCAAAAGGACCTTTTGCAACAGGCTTGTTGCAAGCTTGTTAGCAAGTTGTGAGAATGCCGTTCCATCAACTTGTCAACAAGACTTTTCGCAACAGGCTTGTAGCAAGCTTGTTAACAAGTTGTGACAATGCCGTTCCATCAACTTGTCAACAAGACTTTCGCAACAGGCATGTAGCAAGCTTGTTAACAAGTTGTGAGAATGCCGTTCCATCAACTTGTCAAAAAGATTTTACGCAACAGGCTTGTAGCAAGCTTGTAAACAAGGTGTGAGAATTCCGATCCATTAACTTGTCAAAAAGACCTTTTGCAACAGGCTTGTTGCAAGCTTGTTAGCAAGTTGTTAGAATGCCGTTCCATCAACTTGTCAACAAGACTTTTCGCAACAGCCTTGTAGCAAGCTTGTTAACAAGTTGTGAGAATACCGTCCCATCAACTTGTCAAAACGACTTTTCCCAACAGGTTTGTAGCAAACTTGTTAAGAAGTTGTGAGAATACCGTTCCATCAACTTGAACTTGTCAATAAAAATTTTCCCAACGGGCTTGTAGCAACCTTATTAACAAGTTGTGACAATGCCGTTCCGTCAACTTGTCAACAAGACTTTTTGCAACAGGCTTGTAGCAAGCTTGTTAACAAGTTGTGAGAATACCGTTCCATCAAATTGTCAAAACGACTTTTCGCAACATGCTTGTTGGAAGTTTGTTAACAAGTTGTGACAATGTCGTTCCATCAACTTGTCAAAAAGACTTTTCGCAACAGGCTTGTAACAACCTTGTTAACAAGTTGTGACAATGCCGTTCCATCAACTTGCCAACAAGACTTTTCGCAACAGGCTTGTATCAAGCTTGTTAACAAGTTGTGAGAATAACGACCAATAAACTTGTCAAAACGACTTTTCGAAACACGCTTGTTTGCAAGCTTCATAACAAGTTGTGACAATGCCGTTCCATCAACTTGTCAAGAAGACTTTTCGGAACAGGCTTGTAGCAAGCTTGTTAACAAGCTGTGAGAATATCGTTCCATCAACTTGTCAAAAAGAATTTTCGCAACAGGCTTGTTGCAAGCTTGTTAACAAGTTGTGAGAATACAGTTCCATCAAATTGTCAACAAGAGTTTTCGCAACAGGCTTGTTGTAGGAAGCTGGTTAACAACTTGAGACAATTCCGTTCCATCAACAAGCCGAAAAGACTTTTCGCAACAGGCTTGTAGCAAGCTCGTTAACAAGTTGTGACAATGCCGTTCCATCGACTTGTCAACAAGACTTTTCGCAACACGCTTGTAGCAAGCTTGTTAACAAGTTGTGAGAATGCCGTTACATCAACTTGTCAAAAAGACTTTTCGCAACAGGCTTGTACCAAGCTTGTTAACAAGTTGTGACAATACCGCTCAATCAATTTGGCAACAAGACTTTTTGCAAAAGGCTTGTAGCAATCTTGTCAACAAGTTGTGAGAATACGGTTCCATCAACTGTCAAAAAGACTTATCGCAACAGCCTTGTTATTGGAAGCATGTTAACAAGTTGAGACAATTCCGTTCCATCAACTTGTCAAACAGACTTTTCGCAACAGGCTTGTAGCAAGCTTGTTAACAAGTTGAGACAATTTCGTTCCATCAACTTTTCAAATAGACTTTTCGTAACAGGTTTGTTCGAAGCTTGTTAACAAGTTGTGAGAATTCCAATCCATCAACTTGTCAAATGGACTTTTCGCAACAGGCTTGTAGCAAGCTTGCAACAAGTTGTGAGGATGCCGTTCCAACAACTTGTCAACAAGACTTTTCGCTACAGGCTTGTTGTAGGAAGTTTCTTAACAACAAGACTTTTCGCAAACGGCAACAAGACAAGCAATGGCACCAAGAATTTTCGCAAAAGGCTTGTAGCAAGCTTGTCAACAAGTTGTGAGAATACGGTTCCATCAACTGTCAAAAAGACTTTTCGCAACAGGCTTGTAGCAAGCTCGTTAACAAGTTGTCAGAATGCCGTTCTATCAACTTGTCAAAAAGACTTTTCGCAACAGGCTTG